TGGTATATATAGAATATATATCAAATTTGCTACAATTACAAAATTTTGAATACGAATAGATGTGAAGTGAATTTCAATGCCAGATTGTTGTGTGGTAATACTAGAATATTTGACAAAATGTTGAGCTTTGCTCAGTCAGGTGACAGGAGAGTCAAAGCTTTCTGTTTCTAATTCTATGGTGAGTGCAGGTCATGTGAGTGGCTACATTTGTTTACATATTATTATGTTTGTCTAATCCACAACCCTGTTTTTGGAACTCAAGGGCTAATAATTTATGATGCTGGGAAGCACTCAGGCTCATAGCTTCTGAAAGAGCAGCCGGAGGCTCTCAAGAAACAATTTAATGAGGCCCTCTTTCGGTTTCCTGGTTGCTTATTTAGTAATAGTGCATATTGAATTTCTGGAAGTAAAAACTTGTGATGTTTGGATGACTGAAAATGAGATGCAAGAGAAAAAATTTTAATGGGTCAACCGCTAAAAGAGCTGATGACTCGTAAATTGTCTTAGCCGATGATACATTAAGGAATTCATGATATGAAACATGAAGAAATTTTGCTGCAGCCAAGTTCTCTCATGATGATACATTAAGGAATTCATTTGTTTTACCTCAGGAGATTCTGAAATTACATCGAAGTTTTGCCATCATAATCAAAAGTGGCAAAGAAATCATAGCCTCTTTATCGTATTGGAAACCATTTTGTGAAGATACGAGTTAAACGAAAATCAAAACTATAGGAAAGGTGACGATGATATCTTCTTCTGGTAAACAATCGGAGTCTGAGGCAGTTTCGAAAGCAGGCGATGCCTCCGTTGAAAACGGCGTTGGCGTGCAAGGCACGACTTTCTCAGAGCTCGTGGATGATGTCACCCTCCTACCTAAACAGATATTTGCATGGATTGTCTGTAACTCTGCTAAATTCGGTGACTTGTATGCAGCCGCTCCTACACGACATAGTAATACTGTGGGCGGGGCTTCCATTCTTGGTGGTGCTTCAGACAACACTGGCTCTGGAATTACTCGACGATTAGTGTTAAAGACTGGTCTCAGTGTAATTGTGGCTGCCTTGCAATATCCCAAAGTATAGCCCCATGCTTGGGGCAAATGCTGAAAGGAAGTTAGCGGAGAAGCTGATTGCCCTGGGCTGCTCAAGGCTCAAATCTCCAGGGCCAGGGTTGTCTTCATAGGAGAAACAACTGTGTTTCATAGATGCATTGTAGCAGCAACCCAATAGATGATACCAGTGTACAATGAAGAATCAATTATGGGATCCTTTTTAACTCATTTTATTGATCCAGAAGATTAACACCAACAAAACATACTGGGCCAAGCTTTGAGTCCTCGGACAGTGTTGATGTAAGCTTTTCTGTTATGTTTTGTGCTTTGATTCTCATGTCAGAAACAGGATTTTATAGGATTGATGTTGCTATCTTTCCGTTTAAGTTTGTAATGGGTAATTTTATAAAATTTGAAAATAATAAAGAAAAGCTTGATTAGTTGGGAGGCTACGGCATGTACTGTGTAACGGGGGCCAACAGATTGTGTGACATTTTCTCATTCATGGCCAGGAGGTATGGAGA